CAAACACACCCCCCCCCCCCCAGCCCCCCCCCCCCCCCCCCTTCTATTTATCCTTAAGTCACTTTGTTTCCTCTGTCCTAACTGCTTGTGAGTGTGTACGCATACCTACATGGAACCTCCAGCACAACACGACCACATGACAAATGCTGTGCAGTGCCAGTTACACAGCCCAGTGGTTTGATGCAGTGCTGGAGCAAATCTGTTATATCTCTATGCCTGCCTGGCTGGAGTATTTACTGAAGCCATCAGCCAAATGCTGCTCCATATATCTTTGACAGAGAGGGGAACAATACTATTTACACCAATTTAGCCCAGGGAGGGGGAATTTCCAGTTAATGGACTTTTTTTTTTTCTTCTCCCGTGTCTTGTTTTAACACCCAGTTTTAAAATTGGCCACCCTTCAGGAGGACAGATGAGACACACTCCCAGACTGCCATTCAGTGCTAATAAAGTCTTATTACAGCAACAAAATATAAAAGGACCGGTGCTGTGACAAACAAGTCTGGTCTGGATTTTACTACACCCCTCCATCACAGCTAAATAAGATCTTGAATATACAAGTCGATGGGCTGCTTGGTGCAGAAAATCTTTTTTAAAAAATTAGCATTTAAAGAATATCAGCTTTTTTTTTTAGGTATACACAGTCTTTTATAAAATTCATTTCTTGAATTTGAACATTCTTGAAAATGTATAGCTCAAGTTGAGCTGCTCACAATATTTACTCAGCAAACCTCTGCTCCACTGGGGTTGTTGCTGGATGCAAGCACTCACAAGGTTAAAGGGCAGGTGGTCACCCAGGGGCCAATCAAGGGTTAGTGGTGTAGCAGGTTCAGGTCAGTGGGGTCAGGTCACAGTACAGGAGGGGCTTATGGTCCACAGGGTTTACTAAACATGGAAGGGAAATTAGTGGATGTGTTCCTACAGATACAAACAGCAGGTAGCAAAATACAGAGGTTGTCGGTTAGAATTAAGCTGTATCAGTAACAGATTCAGCAATATTTCCGCCTTTTTTTACAATTTCCAAACAGACAAATAGCAAATCATCTACAAATAAAGATTTGTTGAAAGTCTTTTTAAGCAAAAATGTTCAAGCTATTAAAAAAAACTGAATTGTTTAATAGCTATTCAGTTCATTTGAATTTTTATTACAATATAAAATGGTCACTAAATTCATCTTGCTCTAAATTAAAAGGAATCTACAAAAAAAATTTGAACATTTTAATTTAAATTGTTTTTTTTCTAAGAAAAACAGAAGCATAATCAGTTAACCATAACTATAGCATGAAAACAATAGCGTGAAGCAAATATACATTAACCATATAAGGTATATGTGACTCTTTTTCCACACAGTCATTTTATACAAGGTTACCATTCAAAAGTACTGACCGACTGGCTATATTTCAAGAAAAGCATAAACTAAACAAAATAATGAGTAACAGCATCAAAGGTCTTTTCCTTCGTAGTTTGCTGTCTTATAAAAACAAGAAATGACCCAAAGAACTCTGCAAAATGCACCATCACTGCCTGAATGACAAAAATAGAGCTATGGCTCCCTGATACACAACACAGTCTAACAATGAAGACTGTATGAATGCAGAGCTGTCAGTCAAAGGAGACCTATCCATCAACAGGGCAACGTACAAATGATCATCTCCTAGAATCAGAGTCTGGCGCGCGCACGCACACATACTTTCAGATACAGTAGTTAAATGGGGACACACACATACGCAGAGAGTATAACTAAAGGCAAAGGCAGAAATACGCACATTTATGTACAAAACGCACGTAAACACACACAGAGCCAATTCAGTGAGTTGGTGCCCAGACTGTAGAAGTCATCAGGGACCTGTAAAGCATTACCCTCTGTGTGACTCGAACCACTCCAGAAATAGCCCCTGTAATGTATTCTTACCGCCATCGTCTCTTTTGCACAATAGTGCCCTTAATAACACACTCCATTTCTGTTGGCATAAATAAGGGCTCCATTTCCATCTTATTTCATGCAAATGAGCGTGCCGGCGCCCAAACAGGTAGTGGGAGTAGTGTGTGTGTGAGTGGAGTGTGCTAGTGTGTGTAGTCGCACAGTGTAGTGGCATGATTGGGGACGAGCGAATTCAAATGAGCGTTGGAGAGACCCCACAATGTGCCAATGACTCCCACGCCAGCCTGCCAACGGCGTGACAGACAACGTCACTTACAGGCTCCGCCGCCTGCACAGGGTGCCATTACAGGGGCCAACGCAAAACCAATATTTATCCAGGCAAATGGTTCTCAGGAGAGAGATTATTGATGCAGACACAAGAGTTGCACTCTGGTAGTAGGTGCTGCTCCAGCTTATTACCATGGTATTTGCAAACTCCACTGATTCAGTGTGTTTGGGAACGTAGAGATGGGAGAGACTACTTTTAGTTACAGAGTACATAAAATCTCAACAGGAAGTGACTGTGCTGACAAGAGGAGCTAAATGTGTTTCCTGTGACAGCGACAGGCTTACGGAAAACATTTCTGCACAAAGATCATGACATTTCAATAGAAAAATGCTGGAAAGGAAAAGCCAAACAGATACTCCAGACCTCTTATGCCACATGTTCATCATTCAAGGAAAACATGCCAGATTTTCTGCTGTGTTGCCGGTGGTTCATAACTCCAAAACCAAATACATAAGTTTCACACATTTTACTACAGGACTTCTAGATAGACATACATCCAGATAAGTCAGTCATACGGCTGTTTCTTTTTTGTTGTTGTTTGTTGTGAAGGTAATGCAGTTTCTAAATACAACATTTTCAGACTTTATTCAACACTTGGACCACTCTCTTGCTGTGTGTCAAGGACTCATACAGATTGCAGTATGATTTCAGCAGCACTCACACGAACCAAACAACCTCTGCCTGACCTTCAATTTTAATGCAACCATGTCTGCACTAATGTCTAACTAGGAAGAATCACTGAGGCAGCAGGTTATTTAACAAACTCTTTCATCGAGTCATTAGTATTTACCTTACGGTCTCAACCACTAGTTTCACTGTAGGACATCTTCTGTAACAATGCCGGCTTTGACAGGAGATATTTTGATCTCACCAATAACCTGGTGTAATATTAGAAAATAATGTTTTGTCACAGTTAAGACCAACAACTTTGTAATGTGGCCATATCAAAATCAGCAATAGCTAAAATAACATGGCTGAGAACCAACAAAAAAAAAAATTAAAAAGTTAGCTAAAGAATAACTAACTAATAAAAGAAAATGTTGACATTTCTGGTGTCTAAAGACAATTGCAAACGTGTATGTTTTTCTTTAGTTTTTTATGCAAACACTGGATTTTTGTTGTTTTTGATGTTGTTTTAACACAAAAAAAGTAAAAATGCAGATTTTGATAATAA